AACAATAAGTGTCCGTTTTTTTTTCTTTTCAAAGTCCAAATAATAGGGGTAGGCAAAAACTCCCGTACCCTTTTTTTTTTCGCTCCACAGCAAGAGCTGTGAATAAACAGAAAAATATATAAGCCCAAAAAAACAACAACATTATTACATAAGCAAATCTCAAACAAAAAGAAGAATGAGAATGAGTCGACTTACAGATCAAATGATGGAAGTATCAATGACCAGAATCAGGTATCCGTATTTTTTGTTTTCTTCTCCCTCTGCACTGGACAAATTTAAAAGTTATTTTTTTAACTTTATTCTAGAGCACAATTAATTTAATTTTAGTAGTATTAATTTAGTGCCAGGACTTACAGGTAATTTTTTTCTTTTCGGATGACGTCACCGCCTCAGGACTTCCGCTTTGCCACGTAGGAGTGTGGGAGACTCGTTTTGTCTTCTCTCACTCTTTTGTACAGGATAGCCACTCAGCGTGACGAAGGAACGTAAATACAAGTACTCGAGGGTTTTAAGCAGCCTCGGTCTTATTTTCTTTATTTTTTATTCCTATAAGTAGCGTCAATCGCTGGTGTAATGTCTGCGGTGCTGCTTTTATCACCGGGTCTGGAGAAAGACTGCCATTTTTACCCCCGCAGTAGGGCAACACCTTGAACCAGGCAACCAATCAGGTGAGTCCATTGGAAGAACGGTGTATTACAGGGCGTGTCTAAGAGTGCATCAGGACGGGAGGGGCCGAGGGAGAGAGGAAAACAGTGCAGCCAGCTGATAGCAAACAGCGGGTTGTCACAACGTCAGTTCTGATGTTAACAATCAAACAATTTTATTGGCACTTTTAGCTTAAGTTTTGGCAAATTAAGAAAAAGGAAAGGAGGAAAGTAAGATTAGTGTGTTACTATAACTTTTACTTTTATCAAAGTGTGAGTCAACCAGAACTGCACGTCTTTTCTAAGCTCAGGTTCCACATGACACGTCACTCTGAACACATCAGCTTTTACCTGATGATGTCTTCTTAAGGCACCCTCGGGGTAGGAGCTGGCTCGCCTCCGATCAGCCAGGGAACTGATGTCGGCTCGCTCACCGGTCATTGGCGAACAGGTGTTTTTCCAGTTAACTTTTGTCTGTTTCAGTCCAAGCCAGAAAAATTCAAGCCGTATCTGGTTCCTCCTTCCAAAATAAAATCTCCCCTCGGGAGTTAAAAACACACTTAGAGGCTCGGCCTCGGGTTGAGACCACCGGCAGGCATGTCAGGTCCCTGGCTGTGAAGTATTCCCTAACTAGCTCATGGGCTCAGACTTTAAGCCAAACTGAGGTTTGTCCGGAGAGAATCCCAGCTGTCTTCCTAGGTTGGAATCGGGAAGGAGTGTGTCGCTCAAAGCCATCCAGGTTAGTAAAAGAAACGGATGACTTTTGGTTCCGCCCTCAGGCTTAGAGATGAGTCAAAGAAAGAAAGACAAAGATTTGTCAGCCGGCGCCAGCCCAAGTTTAAAATTC